TGGGTCCGGCCTTCCTGGGCCAAACTGGCCTTTCCTGGCCAAACTGGCTCCACTGCAGTCCTCCCCCTACTATACTTTTGGAGCTCACCAAACCCCCCAGGGTCTGGGAGACGAACGCTTTGGGCTTTCACCCTCTCAGGCTCCGGACTCGGACTCGGACTCGGACTCGGACTCGGACTCGGACTCGGACTCGGACTCGGACTCGGACTCGGACTCGGACTCGGATTCGGACTTGGACTCGGGCTCGGGCTTGGTCTCGGCCTCGGCCTCGGTCTCGGTCTCGGTCCCGATCTCGGTCTCGGTCTCGGTCTCGGTCCCGGTCTCGGTCCCGGTCTCAGTCTCGGTCTCGACTTCGGACTCCATCTCGGACTCCATCTCGGACTCCATCTCGGGTTCATCTCAGGTCCATCTCGGACTCCATCTCGGGTCCATCTCGGACTCCATCTCGGACTCCATTTCGAGTCCATCTCGGGTCCACCTCGGACTCCATCTCGGACTCCATCTCGGACTCCATCTCGGGTCCATCTCGGACTCCACTTCGGACTCCAACTTGGGTCCATCTCAGGTCCACCTCGGACTAAACTTCGGACTCCAACTCAGGTCCATCTCGGGTCCACCTCGGACTCCACTTCGGACTCTACTTCGGACTCCAACTCGGGTCCATCTCGGAGTCTACTTCGGACTCCAACTCGGGTCCATCTCGGACTCCACTTTGGACTCCAACTCGGGTCCATCTCGGACTCCACTTCGGACTCCAACTCGGGTCCATCTCGGACTCCACTTTGGACTCCAACTCGGGTCCATCTCGGACTCCACTTCGGACTCCAACTCGAGTCCATCTCGGACTCCACTTTGGACTCCAACTCGGGTCCCTTTTTGGAGCCTCGCCTTTTGCTCGCTTCGTGCTCGTTCCTCGAGCACTTCGTTGGGAGTTCCACTCCCGCTCTTGACTTTTCAAGTCGGAGCTTTTGGTCCAAACGTGTTACGCTCGTTTGGCTCTCGCTTCAGCCACTACCACGTGGCACCCTTTCCGGCTCCACTTTGGGGCCTAGGGATTTTGTGTCTCACACTTATGCCATTTGCTCCAATACCAACTGCAGCACACCCTATCTCTTTCCCCTTAAGTTAACTAGAAAAGGGGCAATTGCTTAATGAGAGAGCCATTAGTGACTATTTTATCCCCATTTATCCCCCAAGGTTCCAAGGATCCACGGTGATAGTATATCCAAATTTCATCCCATGATCACATGCGCTACATAAATACAAAAGGTTTATTTAAATGAATTTAATTTTGAGAATATAAAGAAATTCAACACCATAAATTCTCCATAAGAAAATTGTTTGGCTGGGTAGAACTGTATTGCCTCCATTCATTTTTATGACACTTAAGGTTACACATTGGAAGACATTGTTTGCTATAAAACACATAAAATCCATACACAATAATCTTGGCCTTTTGAGTCTCAAACCTTCACTTAATGCTCAAATTAATTCCATAAAAGTTTGTCATGTGTGATGTAATATCATCTCACCCAAAGCACAAGAAAAAAATTAGAGTGAAAGTGAGTGAAATTATAAGCAACATTAGCGGCATTGAGTGAAGAAGTCGAGAGAATGAAAACAAGAGCAAAAAAAAAAAAATCCCATGTGGCAAAGCTTAATGGAAACTTCTGACAATAAAAATAAGTATAGCCTGCATAGATAAACATTTTTAAAAGCAAATATATTCTTAGAAGTTGGGTTATTATTGCCATGTTTAATGATTAAAGCATAAAGTTTCTATCTTTAGTTGTTGCTCAATCAAAAAATATAGGTGGAAGGGACTATACTTAGAATATGCTTGAATATTTTAGGATATTCTACCAATTTACGGTTTTATTCAGATTAATCTTGTATTTATAATTTATAAACATATTTATAATTCATAAACTTTTCTAAACACTTCCTAGTATATTCTTGTTTATTTTATTAATGCAATACAACTAATCTTGTTTTAAACATGCTTATACTTATAAACTTTTGACATAAATATGATGAGGCACAGCTTTTAAGTTGAGTTTCAAAGTATGAAAGAGTACAGCTGGATTGTAAATATTATAACATAGTTAGGACAAGAAACATAATCAGTTAATCAAAGAGCTTATTATAGAGTTTAATACAAGGTCATTCTTATATGCAGCTTTAGTTAATGCACCTGAAATTGGTTTTAGACCAGAGGATATAGATCTTATAAATTCAAATACTACAACTAGGATTACTACAAATTTACTTTTAATAATAAATGTTAAAATTTCTGGTCATACAACAATGCCATTAGGTCAAGGTATAGTAGGTAAAATAAATTTGAATCTTGAAATATATGGTACAGCCATGAGAGAGGGAAAAGCTATAGGCACTATTTGGAGCTTTTATGAAACTTTATTTCAGCATATAAGAAAAATATAGTTTGTCTTTATACCTAGAATATTCATCTAGCTTTATATCAACTTCTATAGTAGCAATTATATTACAAAATAATAAAATGGATTAATAATAATACAAAAAAGAATAATACTACTATTAAGCAAATTAAGCATTGATGTATGCAATGTGTTCGTAATTATAAAATGTAAATAGTTATAAAGAAGAGGATTTACTAGGATTTTATAGGGTTTGTGTGAAGTCATACTATTTTCTTAAAATTTAAGTTTATTTTTATATTAAAGTTGATAAAATCAAAGCTTACTTATTTAATCAGAATTATACTATATAAATTTTAATTAAATAAAATTTATTTTAAATTAAGTAGACATATATAAGTTATCAAGTCCCTTGTCGTTATTTGTGGCATATATTATAGTCAATTATGCAATTTTGTATTTACTTCTAGTTTCTTACCTCATGTAGAGCTAAATATGTCAAAATGAATCAAGTTAAAAATGTTGTGGCCAACACTTAATTAACATTTTGTGAGATTTGATTGTCTCAACCACTCTTAACAATGCTTTTTAACTAGTATAACACTATTAAATATCACCTTATATATACTTTATCTCCATTTCTTGTGGGAGGTAATTTTGTTCTGATGAAGGTTCACATTGTTGTTGCATATATTTAAGGACAAAGGTGAAGATGTGGTTATGGTTGTGATATTTATTATTAGGCATATAATAAGGTTAGCTATATGTATTAGCATTATTAGTATTTTCTAGATTAATGTCTTTTATTTCTTGAGTGGAAGCCTTGGTATTAAGAACTTGTTGGTGTTGTTGTGATTGAAAGTATTGACATAGAAATGTTTTTGGGAAACAAGAAGTTGCATAAATAGTGAAGGGTCCTTGCACAAATAAATTAATGACCTCGTATCATTAATAAGTTCATTTGGCATTAGTTCATCTAATATTCATTTTTTAAACTCATTTTTATAATAGAAGGCCCCTTATTATTTTTTCTATATTAGTCAATATAGTATCACTCAACCTGTTATCATATTGCCATCCATAATTGTGTTATATGGTAGAGCCAATTTTCTTTCTCAAAGACAATAGCTATACACATAGTTGTGTGTAAGATAAAGTAAACCTAACTATGTATATGGATGATCAATTTCAATCATTAGGGTAGTGCTAAGTTAAGCTTTTGATCTCATCTTTAGTATGAATTGATTATAGTGTAATTATGGCAAGTATAATTTTGAAGTTTTTCCCCCTTATTTCTTACTCTTTCATTTCTTAAAAAGAATAAATGGAACATAAGTGAGAGGAATAAAAAAGAAATGAGGGAATATGAAATACCAAATATGAACTTATCATTATAGTCTTTTCACTTATATTCCACTTCTTTCTTCTACTGTTACCTTTGGTTTCATCATTTTTATTGTGTTTACCTTTTGCTCTTTTATTCCCTTTTTAGATCTATTATATAGTCTTTATGTTACAGTGGTTGACTAACTTATAAAAGAATATGTTGACTTTGATCTATCATCTAGGGCCAAGATTGAAATATGTCATTCTATTCTAATTAGAGATGTTTGTATTCCTTGGAAACTCTAACTAAAATCACCTTATTCTCATTTTGCATGTTTTGGTTGGTTGCCCTTAGAATTGGTGTACACTAAAGGAGATCAAAATTTTATAAACAAATGTTAAAGAAATATTGGAGAAGGGTGCTATCCAAAAGTTTTAGAGTTTTTGAATGTGTGAATTTTATTTTGTGATAATTTTAATAGGAATATTTAATTTCACATTGACTATTGTCTATTAAACAATATGATTGTATGCAACTAAAGAGAATAATTCAAGAAATGATTTATAAAAGTTCAAATATATAAAAAAATAGCCCATGAATAAAAATGCATCTTTTTTGTAATCGATTAAAGGTTTTGGGATACTTAGGGTTAAACATCTTTAAATTCAAATAATATTGAGCTAAATGATTTTCTAGGAAGTTCAGATTCAAGAGTTTATAATGACTATTTTAGATGTGTACCCTCTACTTCATATTACCAATTTTCTAGATCATCTAGAAGAAGTTATCAATTCACTAAGTTAAATCTAAATCATTTAGGAAAAGTCATTAGTTCACTAAGTTAAATTTGGTTTTTACATATTAACAAATGTCAATGATTAAGGAGGATGTTCTTAAAATTATTTTTCATACACTATTTAATTTGTACGAGTTCTTAGTGATGTTGTTTAGTTTGAACATTCCAACAACTAATTATATATTAATAAGTCTAAAAATTAAAGAATATGAATATTTACTTTTATAAAGCCCTTTGAAATTGTGAATAGCACTCACAGAAAGCCAAACACAAAAACATTTAAATTTTGTTAAAGAAACATTTGATTCCATGCCATATAATGATGAAAGCAAATTTTGTTAAAAAAAACATTTAACTTCATACCATATAATGGTGAAAGTGTTCTTAAATAAAAATGCCAAGTAATTATGTTTGTGCAAGCAATGTAATGCTTTAAAATTCTTTGAGCAGATGCACCTTTTATACTCAAATTTAGAGATATTTAAAAATGTTAATAATTTAAATATTCACTCTCAGAAAACAAAAAGTATTAAGAATTGATTTACACGATGAAGCAAACTTCAGCTCTTTCTGGATCCCACGATCGACCTGAGCAAGCTTTTGTACACGCCCATGTCCTCGTTGGGCAGTACCTCGAGACCCTTCTGGATGCTCTCCACACCCGCAGCTCTCACAATTCGATCTGCCACTGCACTTCCCCTCGCCTGGACGAGCGTCTGGAGGGCTCCCACCGCTCGGCTCCTCAGTACCACCACCTCGTCTCCAAGCAACCCCGTGAGAATCTCCACCACCTTGCTCCTGAGCACTTGCTCCAGGATCACGGGAGACGACGATCCCCTGGAGAAGATCTCCTTGCACACCAAGCAAGCGCTCATCTGGACCTCCTCGCATGGGCAATTGAGCAGCGCCTCGAGCTCCTCCAAAATCCCGGTGCCCAACACTCTCTCCACCACTCTAGCTCCACCAATCTTCATGAGCGCCACGAGCGCCGCCAGAGCCCGCGACTTCACCACCGCCTTGCGGTTCCTCAGCAGCTCCGGCAGCTTCTCGTCCAGCATGTCCGTCTCGAGGAGCTGCGCCATGGCCGCGTCTCCAATCCCCGCCACCTTCACCACCGCGTTAAGCACTCCATCGTGGAGCCACCCCGATCGAGCGTCGAGTAGCAGCACCAGCTCGCCCATCACGTTCTCTCGGATCAAACTCTCGCAAACGTATCTGTCCCTGCCGCTGCTCGATCCAGCTCCGGCGCTCGCGAGCTTGGCTAGAACATCCGCCGCGTCCTTCTTGACGAGTATGTTGATCCCCGGAGCTCCGCTGCTCGAGAGGAGCGTCCGGAGCTTGTGAACGAGCCCGGACGCCACAAGCCCGCGTCCAAACTCCTCGTAGTCGGCCTCCACGAAGCAAGCTGCGATGTACTTGGCTATGGAGGCGTAGGCCGAGGGTGACGAAGCACGGAACAAGAGGTTGACGATCTCGGCACCCACGATCGCGTTGAGCTCCCTGCGAATCTCCTCCTTGCTCGAACAAGCCTTGACCACGTCCACGATGCTCGCCAGCGAGCTCGCGTGGAGATCATCACTGTCCAGGACCAGGATCCCGCGGAGAGCTCCAGCGGCGGCCTGCTTGGATTCCTTGCTCCCGAAGTGTAGCAGCCAGGGAGCCGCCACTGCCCGGGTGTGTGGCTTGGCGAGATTGAGCAGCGCATCCACCGCGCTGGATCTCTTCCGCTCCAAGAACATCACCACCAGATCATGGACGTCGTAGAAGAGGAAGTCAGGTGTCCGGTTGAGCAAGCACCGGCGGACGAGCTCTCGAGCATGGAGTAAGAACGGGCTCTCCTTCCCGAGCGCCGACCAGAGAGCTTGGAGGCACTCCACCGGGACTGGCTCGTCCCAGGAGATCGCAGCGAGCGAGGTGAAGAGATCGTGTGTGTCGTGCTTGAGTCCCACTGTGCTCAGCTCGATCGTGCTCATCACTCCCGCCAGCCAGTTGAGATGGTTCCCGGAGCAAACTTCCAAGTGATTCGCCACCGCGTTCCACTCCGCCCGCCGCCACGATCCTCGCAGAGCTTCGCCGAGAATCGCCACTGCCAGTGGATGGTGGCTGCAGTGTCGCAAGAGCTTGCTCGCCACAGCCTGTTTGAAAGAAGAACAAGAGTGAGAAAGAAAGCACAAAGAAAGTTGGCGAAGTGTATACTTACTGGGAGATTCTTCTCCGGCATTCCACTGTGGAACCGTAGAACGCCTCGGCTAACCGAGGCCGTGTCGCGGAAGCCGAGCTTGATCGAGGCCACCGAGCCGGACTCCACGCAAGGAACCGGACTATCCTGGCAAGTGATGAGGAACTTGGAGCTATGGCGCTTCAACTGGATGATCCTGTCCACGATCTCCTTGTCACACACATCATCCAGCACGATCAAGTAGGAGGACTCCGCCACCACCTCCTCGAGCAGCGCCCAGCAATCCTGGGAGCTCCCAGCTCTCTGGAGAAGCTCCTTCTGGCAGTTCAGTTCCTGGAGGAGTGACTTTAGCTTGCTCTTCAGCCGGCGATCGCTACCAGCGATTTTCCCGACTCGAATCTCCACTGCGCTATCGGCGAAGCACTGGGGAGGATTCGCGACGATGTACGCCGCGAGGGAGGTTTTTCCCACGCCGGATGGCCCGTGAACGATGATCACGCTGTGCTGGGAGCTGGAAGATAGCTCCTCGCGAATCCTTCTCGTGAGCTTGCTCAGCGGCTGGTACCCCTCGAGCGTGGATGCGTGGAGCCGCGGCGCCGCTCCAAATGCCTGACACGAGAGGAGCTCCAAGATCCCTTCCTGGTACTCCAGCCAAATGCCCAGCTCCTCGCATAGCGCCTCCAGCGGCGCCGCCAATCCACCGCCACCTCCGCCGCCGCCGCGCGAAAAGCAAGTCCTGCGAAGAACGTACCACATGGAGGAGGATGGTCTCTTCTCCGGGGCGATGATCTTGCCGCGATGGAGAATCGCGCGAGCGGCGTCCATGGCCGGGACGAGCCTGGCGCAAAGAACATCCATGCTCTCCAGGCGCGCCATGACGAAGGCGGCGTGCTCGTTGTTGTGGCGGAGGATGTGCCATGACCTGGAATGGAGCTGGTGGAGCTGTGCTAGCCTCTGCTGGAGCCTCTCCGCCGCCGCCACAGCTCCGCCCACATCGCCGCCGCCATCGCTCCACCCTCGCAGCTTTTGGGCGGTGTCTAGGAGCGACTGGATCGTGTCGGAGGAGGTCTGTGAGACCTCGTAGGGATTCATGGGCGCAAGGAGCTACTCACAAAGCATCAAAGGGAATCTCACCAGGATTTGCCCAAATTCGCGATCCAGCGAGCGCTCCCGGCGAGTGGCGCGGCATTTAAGGCGATTGCTGGGGTGGATCCAGCTGCCCATCACATCAAAAATCCATCTTGGTATCGCTCGCGAGAGAGAAAAGAGAGGGGCTGCGGTGGATCAGTGGTTGAAACAAGTCAATGAAAAGGAGCCATTTTATTCCACCGTGTAATGTCCGGACGTTCTCATGCGCCACCCAAGTTTGACTTTGCCAAAGTAAAGTATCTAGAAGAAATTTTTTGATTGTCAGTTATTATCATGGTCAAAGAGGAACTAGCGATGGATGGTAAAAGGAATCTTTCCCAGGTTGAAATTGAGAATTCTTCACAGTAGAGGAAATTTTACGAATGGATCAAGTGCTCTAGTCGTTTCTGGCTTGACCACAAAACATGTCATACATACATCCATAGAACAACGAATTCTAGACACAAACACCACGCTCTTTCTCTGCCCCAGGTCATACAGCTCACAATTGAATATGGCTGACCATGTAGCATTAGTACTGGGTCTCAAGGTGGCTCGGAGTCATAGGATCATAAGTGTTATATATTGCTGTGTGCAAGATATTTCTCCTTCATATGGACAATTGCAACATTTAAACCAACAGGGTGGTAATGTAATGGGTTTAGGTACGGGGCTTGAAATTGTGAGGATCTGGGTTCTTGACGCTCAGCATGGCAAGGATAGGCAAATATTAAATCACTTCCTCTTTTGCATCTTGGTGTCTGATGCATTTTCTGTATTGTTTTTTCTGCTTTAAGACGCATTCCAGAAAAAAAAAACATAAGTTTTTTGCAGCTTTAACATATTAGTTTGATTCCAAAATAATAAATTCATGATAAAATACTGAAACAATTTTAGTTCGCTTAAATATTATTTACAAAGAAGATTATTTTATAAGCCTACAGACCAAAGGTTTTTAATCATAAGTTTACTATATATTCTATAAATTTGCATGCAAAAATAATACTAGATTTTTATATTCAATATAAAAATATTTTATATATACAATTTCTTGGGTACATGAATTTATATTAAATCTCACAAACATAATACTAACCCAAACTATTTGAAGCCCTTGATGATTGTGGTAGTCATTGTGAATTTTGACTGAAATATGGGTATTATAGTAGTTGATAAAAAAGTTGATACCGCTTATGTAAATTTATATTTCTATTTTCTGTTGAAAGAGATCTCGGTGTAATATTTAATGTCTTTTGATATATAAAATATAAAAATTAATTTTACTAACTATAATCTTTGCAATACATAAATTCAAGGTCTTAAAATCTTTGAATAAAAATAATTACTTCTAAATTTTATGGCCACTGAATAAAAGATTTTAAATTTTACACCATCTAAATTCCTCTTTTTCCCTAATGTTGAGTGCAAGCTTTGTTTATGTAGTACAAAATTTATTTCAAGATGAAAACTTTCCCTTTTTTTTATTTTCAAGGGGTTGACAAAATGAGTAATTCCTAATCATATACTTTTAGATTGGCTAATAATAAGTGGACTAAAAAACTTTTTTTCCTTCAAAGAACTTAGATTCATTTAATTTCACATAAATAAACTTTTGTACTTGGTTGGAAGGGTATATTAGTGACAAGCTCTAGAATTATGTCAACATCTGAAAAAGGATATGCAATATTTTTATTAAGGTAAAACTAATTTTAAAATTATTTATCAACTTAATATTAAGAAAAAGTATTTGTTAATGCTGATTTAATTCTTAATGTTTTTTGATATGTAAAAAAGTTTCAATAATTTTGCATAACTAAATATAAAGTCTGGATAATACTAGGATATATGCAAAAAACATAAATAATTTCTTCATCAAAGAAACATAAATCTAAATTTCCATGTTCTTGTAGTCTTAATACATTTATTTATAATTTTTGACAACTATAAAATAATTTTTTTAAATAATTAAAATCATCTAAAAACATCAATTAGATATTTTTATTTGTAAATACTGAAGATTGCTGATATAATAAATATTGATGTGACATACTAAATGAACCACTTATTAGCATGTATTTTAAACTATTACAGCTAATACTGATTTTTATTATTTATGGTCTATATGAATATTATTTTCTAATAAATTAGTAAATATAAAATAATTTTTTTATAATTATACATGAAGTTACAAAAGTTGCTATATCACTATAATTATTTCATAGTAACATATATAATACATTTTTTTTATGGTTATTCCTACTTTTGAACCACTTTCATTATTAATTGTACCTAGAATAAAAACAGCATATGCATTAGTGGTATTTTTTTCAACATTTAAAGTTCCATGTAAACTTTAACCTTTTGGAAGTTTAGTATTTGGTATAGTATTAATTGCCTTTGCCATTGTATTTACTATAATATTTATTATTAATACATTTAAAATATCAAAATCACTAATGTCAAATTCAATTTCTTGTATAAATACTTTTACTACAAGTAATATTAAAAAAAATCTTTGTAGATTTCATTATGTTTTTGTTTGTTATGCTTTACACTTTTAAGACTGGAGTGAAAACGTGTTTATTAATCATAGTTTATAATTTTTCAGTTGTGAGTACTCAAAAAAGAAATAAAACAAATATGTTTAAGAACTAAGAATAAAATTCATATTGGATTTCAATTTTAATTTAGGAAATATCAGCCTTTCAGTTTGTTTAGCAATCTTGATGGCTAAAGATGGTATATGTTCATTTTATTTTACGCTAATTTATATTTGTCTTCTGAATATTGCAATGAAAGAGGACATTCCAAAAATTAGTTTACATATCTGCCTGGTAATTGGAGAAATGTATCGGACTCTCTTCCAGCTTTCGTTAATGCAAAGTTCAAAGTTAGACGAAGCCTCCTTTTAATCAAGAAAATGTCAACTGAAGCATAGCCGTGGATAAGAGCATGTAGGGAGCGCTCTTGTCTTCGCTCACATTGCACTTTGGCGCATTGATGGATCCAATCTCGCCATGGCTCCTGCGTGCAGCAAGCAAGCTCACACACACGGCATGGTCAGGCAAATAAGGCATTGAATCGATCAAGTCTTGGGCATCTTCCAGCCGCCCCAATCTCCCAAGAATGTCAACCATGCAGCAGTAGTGCTGCAAGCTCGGCAAAATGCCGTGATCGGCAACCATTCCCACAAAATGGGATCGAGCGCTCTCGAGCTGCCCAGAATGGCTGTGGGCAGTCAAAATGCCCGCGTACGTGGTCGCATCGGGCTTCATCCCCTCCAGTTCCATGCTGTGGTATAGCCCCACGGCAACCGCGGTGTAACCGTGGTGACCACATGCGGCAACCACGGCGTTCCATGTCAGTGTGCTCCACGCCGGCATCCTGCCAAGGATCTTTGTCGACTCTCGGAGATTCCCAGCCCGACAGTAGGCCGCAATGAGGGTGTTCCAGACTACCAGGTTGTGCTCGGGCATGGAATCAAACACGGCTTTAGCTTTTCCAAGGTCTCCAGATGCGGCATTTGCTGTGATTATCGACGTCCATGCAATGGTTGAAATATGGGGCATAGTTTTGAGCAATTCCACAGCTCTATCTGCGTCTCCAAGCATTGAGTAAGACGAAACCATGGCGTTCCACGAGACTTCGTTTCTCTGAGGCATATTCTGGAATAGTTCCCCCGCTTCTCTGATCATTCCTGCCTGTGCATTTGCGAAAATGAGAGAGGTCCACGAGACGAGAGTGGTCTGTGGTATTTTCTCAAACAGTGATCTTGCTTCCAGAATGTTTGTGTTTTCAGAAGCGGCTTGTAACATTGCGTCCCACGCTACAGCATCACGGGCAGGCATTCTCTCAAAAACACGCTTTGCTTCTTCGAGAAGCCCATTCACCGCATTTGCAGAAAGCATAGCGGTCCAAGCAACGACGCAGCTTTGCTGAATCGTCTTGAAAATATGACTACACTGAAGAAGATCACCGTTTTGCGAGTACGCAACTAAAAGTGCTGTGCTTGCAACAACCCCGTGCGAAGGCATTGCATCAAACTGCCTCCTCGCGTCATCAAGATGCCCGTTGCGGGCATAAGCCAACACCATGAAGTTCCACGAGTAAACATTCCGCTGCTTCACGGAATCAAACGCAGCACGCGCCTGTGCCAGGCTTCCGCTCCGCCCATAAGCCTCGATCAGAAAATTCGCAAGGAGACGATCGGATCTAAACTCTTCCGCCCCAAGAATGATCGCGTGGATCCGAGTCGTGTCCACGAGACTCGTGCTTTGCCGGAGACGATTCGCGAGAAGCGCAACATTCATAGGCGCCGAAAAAATGGAGTCTCACATTGTTAGTCCACGATGGTCAGCGCAATGTCAACGGTGGTCAACAAAGCCCGAGATGATCGTCCATTGTTAGGATCAACGGTGGTCGATCAAGCGGCCAAGTGGCCAGCACTTGGCTTCCCACGGGAGGAACAAAAAATTTATCTGTAGCCTAGGTTATTCCCTCATTCGCTCATTCTCTCTTCATGGCTCTCTTGTTCTTCGAGGAGTATGCCGCGAATTCCTACCTCTACGCCGTCTTGGTGATCGGATTGGCATCGCTTCTTCCCATGGGATTGCTGGAGCTCAAAGGAGGAGGTCTGAGGTACTCCAAATTCGCCGAGGGGAAGAGTCCGCTAGGCGAAATCCCCAGCAGAATCGCCATGTTTCTCTTCTATTTCCCCTCGGCGGCATTGGCAGGAGCTGTTTTGAGCGCCACCATGGGAATTCTCCCATCGCCCGTCCCGGAATTCCTCAAGAACGCTCACCCTAGTCCCAGGTTCCTGGTGCTCACCGCTGCGATTTGCATCCATTTCTCCAAGAGGGTCATCGAGGCAAGTGATTCTCTCCAAGCTGGTCACACTTTCTGACGATCTTTCGATCCATCCAGGTGCTGTTCGTGCACAAGTACTCCGGCAATGCCGAGCTCCTGTCCAGCTTGAGCATCGTGTTCTTCTACACGGCCTCCACGGCCAATCTCCTCTACGCGCAGCGAGTCGCGGAGGATCTGGCACCGCCCAAGATCGACTTGATGTTCCTGGGGTGTGTGTTCTTCGTGGTCGGCATCGTCGGGAACTTCTACCACCACGATTTGCTCGCCCAGCTGAGAAGTGGCCGCTCCCCGCAGCAGCCGAGATACGTGGTTCCTCACGGCGGATTGTTCGATCTCGTCGCGTGCCCGCACTATCTGTTCGAGATCATCGATTTCATAGGCCTGGGGATGATCTCCCAGACTGCCATCAGCGCCGCCACAGTGATGCTCGTCGCCTTCTACCTCACCTCGCGAAGCATTTCCACCCGGCGATGGTACCTCAAGAAAGTCGATGGCTTCCCGAGAGAGAGGAAGGCTTTGATTCCATTTGTCCTGTAAATGACGTGTCAGTGACATGTCAGCCGTGGTTTACACGTAAGATTTTTCGGTGCCACATCAAGAAGCGATATTCGTTTAGGGTGACGTGTTTAACACGTGTAAAATCTGTCGGTGCCACGTCAGGAAGCTATTTGCTTAACACATGTAAAATCTGTCGGTGCCCGGAGAAAGGATATTCGCTTAGGGTTTATGGTGATTTTAGGGAAGAAGGCAGAGGAGAGGAAGGAATCGCTTTGGCGCGCGGCGAGGGGATGATTTCTTCCAGCGGCTCCACTCCTTGCTGATTTGGGCGGTTACATTTGTGGCACTCGTTTCTCGATTGGGCGGGCCAGCAGCTATGTCGGCCGTGCTTGCGTCCCCATTTCTTGCGCAGCAAATCCGAGCTCCCGACGGTAAGTCTTTTCCTCGATTTCCTCAGTAGCTGCAATTCTATCCAAATCTACAGTAGGAGCGGCTATTACTGGGAGTAGCGTTAGGATAATTCATGTTGGTCACCGCAAATTCGATGTCTCGGCTCTAGCAGTGACAACCACTTGCAGCGCGATGAGGGTATGTGTGACTGATCGATTTTTCTTGGTCGAAAGTTGTCTAAACTTCTTGGGATTTCTAGGCAACGTGTGAAGCCCAGCAGCAAACAATCCAAAACCAGTCGGCTGTCGTCTCCAAGACGGCTCCAATGCAATGTAAGCGTTTGTTCTTTGTGTTCTTCGTGTCGAATGGTAGAGAAGGGCTTCTTATCGATGGTTTTGTGTCTCGATCGCCAGCGAAGGAAGCTTTCGTCCCCAAGCTTGACGATGGCGGTGGCGGTGGCCCCGGCGGCGGGGACGACGGTGGTGGCGATGGTGGCGGCGGTGGCGGAGGATGGGGAGCTGGGGGATGGTGCTTCTGGGGCGTGCTACTTCTACTTGGATTTCTAAAGAGCAACGAGGAGAACAGCAAGAAGAGGAGAAGGCGAAGACAATTGTAAATTTTTTTTTTTCCAATCGATCATATTTCTTTGAATTAGGGTTCGTCTGGAGATGAAATTTGAACATCCGTGACTGAAGAATGAAAAAATTAATTTTTGTGGGGAGGGATTCTTGCAACACTCATTCAAAACATCCATATAAAACTGGCAATTGCCAATGTCATGTCACTACTATTGAGATCGCTATGGATGGGGTGAAACAACTAATTTAAAACCTGCAATCTTAGTAATAATGACATTAGTAGTTGCCAGTTGTATGTGGATTTTATGAATCAGTGTCACAAAAGTCCTTCCCCACAAAAATTATTCTTCAGTCGGTTGTTGTTTTATGGGAGTATTTAAAAGTCATAAATTGTTGCTATTTTTAAAAAAAAAATTCCTACTCAAAAAGCGTAAAGAACAAAAAAGGCCACCTGGAAATTTAAGAGCACGATTCGGGTTTTTTAAAAGAATAAAAGTTGATAATGGAGATGAGGGGCATCGATCCCCTTACCTATCGCATGCGAAGCGATCGCTCTACCATCTGAGCTACATCCCCAAATCGTGATAACCAATTTAAATTCCTCCATCTTGTGGTGTCGTTAGAACCCTAGGAATGATGGCGTGCGTCCAGGCGATCACGCGCTGGAATGCGGCCGCGCGCGAGCACGTCATTGCCGATCCTGGTAAGCGCACAGCTCTGCCACTCCAGATCGTATCCGACGAGTCCAAGAATCTGGCGGATTGCCTCCAATCTCACAAGAAAGCGCGCAATCTCCTGTCCAGGGCGCGCGATCCGCCCCGGAAGACCACGTACAGGCTCGTCGTGAGAGAGCTGTGCAATGGCGGGGATCTAGACGCCGCTCACAGGGTTTTGGATCTCATGGAAGAGAAATTCCAGGCCAGGGACGTGATAGCTTGCAGCGCTGTGATCCACTGGTGCTTCCAGAGCAAGAAATATGGAGAAGCCTACGAGCTCCTCAAATCCGCCATCGCTGGAGGCTGCCGTCCAAACGTCGTGACATACGGAGTGGTGATCGAGGGACTTTGCAAGGCGCGGCGGCTCAAAGCCGCGCTGGAGCTCCTCGAGGAGATGATCCTTGGCGGAGCTGTGGCTCCGAACGTGGTGATCTTCAACAGCGTCGTGAATGGATTTGCCCGAGCCGGGCATTTGGATGGCGCTCTTGGGACTCTCCGGATGATGAGAAAGGCTGGGTGTAATCCAGACGAGGTAACTTACAACACTTTGATCGATGTTTTCCACAAGCTTGAGAGGTTTGACAGTGCTCGTGAGCTCCTGGAACAGATGTGGGACTCGGGGATTCGTCCCGGCGTGGTTGCTTACAACACGATCATCTCGGGACACTGCAAGTCGGGGGATGTGGATGGCGCTCTCGAGATCTTGAGCTTGATGAAAGGTAGAGGTTGCTGGCCGGATCTCTTCACGTACTCGACGCTCATCGCTGCGTTTCTAAAACTTGGCAGGGATCGAGAGCTCCGGAAGTTTGTCAACGTTCTAGTTTCACGGACCTCGATTCCTCCTCTCGTGCCAACTTACGAGCCTCTGATACAGTCGCTGTGCAAGAGGCAGAAGATCCACGAGGCCTTAACGCTCCTGGATCATATGGTGAGGAGTGGACGTCCTCCGGAGATGGCTGAGACTTACAACAATGTCATCGCGAGTTTCTGCGAGGTGTGCAACGTGAGAAAGGCCAAGGGGATTCTAGAGCTGATGATTGATAGCGGATGCAAGCCAGACGTTGTCACTTACAACACTTTGATCAGCGGGCTCTGCAAACTTCGAAGAGCCGACGACGCTTTGCAGCTCATGCGAGAGATGGAGCCAGCTCCAAACACGATCACGTACAACACCGTCATCAACGGACTCTGGAGGTCCAGGAAGGATACAGAAGCTCAGGCTTTGCTGGACGAGATGATCAGCGTGGGGTGTCCATTCAGCGTCTCTACTTACAACTGCGTTATCGCGAATCTCTGCCGGTCTCGCGAGATGGAGAAAGCAGTGGACGTCTTTCTCTACATGAGGAAGAAGAAATGCGAAGCGGACGAGGTAACTTTCGCAACGCTGGTGGACGGGTTTCTCCGAGACAAGAGGTTGGAGGATGCTGGTGGAACGCTGGACTGGATGGCAAGAGCAGGGATTCCCTCGGATGTTAAAAGCTACACCAAGCTTCTCAACGCTCTATGCGACAGAGGCTCTGCTCAAAAGGCCTGCGAGATTTTCAACCTGATGGTGGACCGAGGATACGCTCCAACTCTCGTGAGCTACAACGTTTTGCTCAAAGGGTTGTGCAAGGCACTCAGGGTGGAGCACGCGCTGGTGTTGTTCAGGGAGATGCAAGAAAGAGAAATCCAGCCGGACGTGGTGAGCTACACCACAGTTATCAAAGGTCTCTGTGCTGCGCGAAGAATCGACGAAGCCATCGATTTGTTTCGAGACCCCAGTTTCTTGGAGCCAAATGATATCACGCACGAGACACTGAGAATTGGACTTGAGAAGTCGGGCCGCCTGGAAGACTATTCTTCGGTGACAGGAAGAAAGGATCAAAATGCATGACGCTGACCCCGTACACTTTTAAGGGTTTGTTCTTTCTTCGTTCTCATGGCTACTGACTTTACTATCAGAGAAGCTGTGAAGCAAGATCTAGTTCCTGCTGCGACCGTTCTATACAATGCGTTTCTGGAGATAAACAGTGCTACAAATGCTGCTGCTGTGGAGGTCGATTTTCCAAGTGTGGAAGTAGCCATCGCAGCAGTCAGAGGTCGACTGGAAGATGAAAGCTCAGCTGGTGTTGTGGCCGTCCAAGGGGGAGCTGTCATCGGTGTGGGATTCATCGTTTTTGGTTAAGTTGCTGAATTCTGGAATCTGGAATCTAAACCACAAGCCTTTGTTTCAGGAGGAGAGGTGAATTCTCTGGCCCTTGTCTCGGTGATGCCTAGCACAGCAAACAAAGGTGTGGGGAAAGCTATCACTTTGAGCTTGCTGGAGAAATCCCGCAACACAAGCGCAGCATCTATACGACTGGTTCAGGTTCGCAACTTTTGACTCTGGCTTCTCAAAACGGTTTTCTCTCGGGCGTCAGGGAGCTCCGAACACGAAGAGCTTTTCCTTGTACGTGAAATTCGGCTTTCGTCCCGTGGAGTTCTGGAGTAATTTTCACGGCTCACTCAGCAAAGACCAAGCCGAGAAAGCTGCCAACATCGCTGGCATCTCACTAGCTGGTAGTCCAGTTTTATACAAGATTTACACTTACTACATCTTTGACAGGCTATGTTGTCCGGGAGATGGAGCCGAACGACGTGGATGCTTGCTCCAAGCTCTTCAAGAAGACGCTGGGATACGACCGTGAAGCTCAGATCAGAGACGTGCAGCTTCGAGCATTAGGAAACGGCAGTGTTCTAGTGGTCATCAAAGACGGAACTATAGTGTGAGAACAGTGCCAAAGTTTTACCTTTCCAGATTCTCAAGCTTTGTCTTTGTGGCTCAGGGGATACACGACGGGTTTTGTTCGCAGTGGCTATGTGATTGCTACAAACGAAGAAGCTGCCATTGCATTATACTCGAGAGCAGCTCATCTTCATATATACATCTTGGGACAGCTCTATCCAACTTTGCTGCGATGGGCGCTCGAAGCTGGCCTTCCATTGATCAGGTACCTCTCTTTTCCTGTGAAGCTATTCTTTTTACAAGATGGAATTTGCAGGCATGGATCGTTTATGGTTCTCGGCAGCTATCTCCGGCCGCAGCAAGGCATGCTGTGGAGTCTCTGTGGAGTCAATTGATCCACTCATCTATCTCCAGTCTCAGCAAGGCATGGTGTGAAGTTTCTGTGGATCAGAGCTCTTGCAACTTTTCAGAACCTCCCGTAAGTCTTGCATCCTTTGCTTTTTCATGTCATGCTCCTGGACTTTCCTGTTCTTTATCTCCTTATAGCTTTTAGCCTTACGACCAGTTCCAAAGTAGACAGCCTTCGTCTTCGTCCTGGGTGTGAATCTCGAGCACACAGGCTCCGGAAGCGCTTGCGGTGGCGTCTCCAGATCGACGAGCAACAGATATGGCGACGGACACCTCGGGTCCAGCTCAAAAGCGTGCCTTGCCGCCACAGCTCCAAGCTCGACATCGCCATGAAGCTTGCAAACGTTGAGCAGCGTCGTCCAAGTCACAGCATCCGGCAAGAAAGGCATCGAAGCGACGAGCTCCTCGGCCTGTCCCAGCCTCCCAGCTCGTCCCAGCGCATTGATCAAGCAGCAGTAGTGATCCACGGTCGGCTCCTCGAAGTGCTGCTCCTGGACTGCGAGAAAGATCTGCCGAGAAGCCTCCAGCAGTCCGGCATGGTTGCACGAATTCAAGAGGCCCACGAAGGTGACGTCGTCCGGATCGACCCCGGCCAAGATCATCCTCCGTGAGAGATGGATCGCTTCGTGGTGCTGCTGGCTCGATCGAGCGTAGGCATGGATCAGCGCGTTCCAGGAGGTGGCATTTGGATTCGGCATCACGGAGAAGGCGCTCTCGGCTCGGACAAGATCGCCCTTTTGAGCGTGGCCGGCGATGATCGCGTTCCAGGCTCGCGAGTTCTTGACGGGCATATCCTCGAAGAGCTGGGTGGCGCGGTCGAGATCGCCGTTTTGTGCGTAGGCCGCCACCATCGCCGACCAGGCGTAGACGATCCGGCGCGGGCATTTCTCGAAGATGATCCTGGCCTCGAGCACAAAGCCCGCGATCCCGTAGGCGCGGATGAGCGCCGGCCAGGAGCTATCATCCGGGCGTGGCATCCGATCAAACATCCGCCGCGCCTCATCGGGTTGCCGGTTCTCGGCATACGCCTCGATCATCGCGTTCCAGGACACTGTATCCCTCTCGGGCATCCGATCGAAATAGATCCTCGCGGAGTTTACTCGCAGAGAGCTCCCATGCGCAGTGATCATCGCTGTCCAGGAGATCACATCCCTCTCCGGCATGCCCACGAAGAGATCTCTCGCCTCGTCAAGATGCCCGTTTTGGGCAAATGCTTGGAGCATCGCGTTCCAAGACACCACGCTCCTCTCGGGCATGGAAACGAAGAGCTCCTTCGCGCGATGCAGCCGTCCGTTGGTAGCGTACGAAGTAACCATGGCCGTCCACGAGACGATGCCCCGGTACGGCATGCGGTGGAAGACCGAGGTGGCGGAGTCGGGTTGCCCGAGCTGGGCATATCCGGTGACCATGGTATTCCACGTCACCATGTCGCGGCGGCCCATCCCCGCGAAGAGGGAGGCGGCGTGGCCGGCGCGATCGTTCTGGAAGAGCGCCGAGAGGAGGATGTTGAAGGAGAAGAGATTTGGGAGCTGGATCGCGTGGAAGACAGCGATGGCGTCGTCGATCCTCTCGCATTTGCCGTAGGCCTCGATGATCGTGTTGGCGAGGAAGGTGCTGTGGTGGAAATCGCTCGCGAGGACGTAATCATGGAGCTCGCGGGTGCGCGCGACATCACGGGAGTCGCCGCTGGCGCGGATGTGGCGCGCGAGGTCGCCGGGGACGAACTCCGCGCGGTTGAGCTTGCGCGGGCCGGTGAGCGTCTCGCGGCCGTCTGGGGGGTTGCGGCGGAGGAGCTGGCGGAGCTTCTCAGCGGCGCCCTGGCGGCGGAGGCGGCGCGTTCGGATGCGGCGCTTGATCTGGATCTCTGGGATGGGGCGCTCGATCCATTTCTCGCCAAGGAATTGCTGCTCGAAGAGGGACTTGCCGGTTCGCCGCGGCCAGAAGTGGTAGGCGTGGAGGAGATTTCGCTCCTTCCATTTGTCGCTGATGGGGAACTTGGATCTCTGGACGAACAAACTAACGGTCGCCTTTGGCCCCTTATATCGCGGCATTAGGGTTCTTGAAGATCGCGGTTTTCTGGAAATGTGCGCGTGACGCTTCAAGGAGTCGAAAATCTGCGTGATCGATAAGCGGGAAGATTTGGCGCTTGCTTTTCAAGGAGCTGCCGCCCCGGACGATCGAGCTAGTCGGGAGCCATGACGTAGTGGCTGCTTCGCGGATCATCTCGCGGGCTAATAGCGCTAGCGCGAAGAAGAGGCTCGGCAGCCTCGTAGCTTCTGTGATAGAGGCACTACTCGTGGCATTTGCGGAGGACGAGCAGGACAGGAACTGGATCTACTGCGCCGAGGATCTTGACGAGATGAAACAGGTGGCGGCAGAGAGACAACGATTTGCTCTTCCCGGTGGACGAGTACGATGTTTACGACGCGAGGTACGGCGTTGCGAGAGCTCGGGCAGCGATCGGCGTGCTTGCATGCTGGATCGGAGAAGCGCTTCCATCGCGATCGAGGGACGAGAATCTCTGAGAGTGCTCGCGAAGAGCGAAGTTGGAACTTTCCTGCGATGGAAGGGTCTCGACAGCGGAGATGCGCGCGCTAACCGGCTATCTTCCGCTGTAGTGAGCATCTACCTCGACGCGGAGATCAAAATGCGTGCTCTTAAACTCACTAAACATTTGCCAAATCGTGAGATATCTTAACCAGAAGAACTCATGGAAAGTGTCGCAACAACTCCTTCATCAGCTTCATCTGCTAGGTACCTCTTCATTGTCCAAACCATTGGGGCATGGACTTAAGCTATGATATGAAGATTTCTGTGAAGATTGGAGATAGATTTTGTTTGGCATTTCAATGATCTTAGAGTGTATTTCAGTATTATGAGAACCCAGGAGCATAGCATTTTATTCCACCACATATACTTTTGAAAGTAGCACCAGTGTGACCACTGGCAATGGAGCTTGCTACGCTTCACTCTTGGAGGCTTAAACTAGTGCCACCACTTTGAGTACAAGGTCTCCCAGCGGACCGGAAGTATAAAAGGACGGAAGCTGCACAATACAATTCTTGTAGGAATCGCTGACAGACAGCTTATTACTGCCAATGTATGGACAATCAAAGTGTATAGTGGCAACTTTGATGCCCTTCGTATAGATGTCAAATCCACCTGTAGTCCCAGATGGAGAACCTTGCCTTCCACATGCAGCAAATGGCAGGTTGGGAGAGGTTTCTCCTGCAGCAATGGTTATCCCAGCTGGTGCACTCGCGTCGGCGTTCTAATCTGGGTACTTGTACCACTTTCCAAATGTTAAGGAGTTTTTCACTTCTAAGGTGTCTTGTCCCAGGTTTGTGATCTTGAAGGATACCCACTGAGGATATCCTCCCAACTTGCCATCTGCATTGCAGATATACTGTAAGCCCAGAAATTAAACTTGAGCTACGTACCGGTGACTTGAAAGATAGAAACTGAGTCCTCTTCTCCAGCTGAAGCAGCAGAAGCTAAGCTCCCAATGGATATGCAAAGCAATGCTAGAAGGAAAGAAGAACTTGACATGATTTCTTGCAAATTTGGGTTTGGGGCTTGCAAATTTATACTCACTTTTTAAATGTTTAAAAATGGTTATGCGTAAGCACAAAGTTTTAAAACTTGAACTATTTTTTAAACAGGTTAGTGCCTCCTCGTACTCAAAAGGTTTAGACTAAAAGTCCAAGGAGTAATGTGTGGCATAATTGTCAGTCCCACGTGAAAGATTGCGACGTATTAACTTTCGAGCACTAGAGTGGGAATTTTTATTTAGGAGAAAATTGAAAAGATATATCGTCACCTACAAAACCACCATTTCAGCTGAATTGTTCCGTGAAATGGTCGTTGTTTAAGAAATGCAGTACCAACGGGAGCAAGAGTTCACGGTGAGATCCTCCAATTTTGCAGCAAAACCATGTCGCATGGAAAAGAAATTTACGAATTTGGCAGAGTGACAATTGTGTAGCAAGCAGTTGCACAATCTATCCATGAATTTGAAAATCCAGATGTTTGGAAGATGTGGGAGCTTGCAAGAAGCATTAGAGAGATCACATGGGATCTGCAAGGAATCGTTTCTTGTGGAACAACATGATTGCTGTGCAGGATATGCCAAAATGGCTATCCGGAGTGCTATGGGACACAAGAACATTGTAGCCTGGAACACAATGCTCCAGGCATACATTCAGGTCAAAGATACTGAAAAGGAGAGAGAATTTGATGCAATGCCAGATAGTTTAGTCCCGGTGTAAAAGCGAAGCTAATCTTTGATTCGATTACATTTTTCCTCGGAATTCAATGATGTCTTTTCGAACGAATTCTCGAGCACGCCTCGTGACGTGGAATTGGTTATCTTCTAAATGCCAGAGCCGAGAGAGTTGTTTCCTCCATCGTCGGAGCATATCCCGGAGCGGACATACGACCGGAGCGGAGCGGATGTTTGCTGCCATCCCGGGAAGAAAGATCTCATCGCCTGGAACACGCTGATCACGCTCAAACGCCACGTTGATGGTGTCTCTGCCGTGATCCTCGCAATACAACAAGGCCGTGATCGTTTGTGAGCGTTTTTGGTGCTTGCGGCCAGCTTGGGCTGTTCTAGTGGGGATGGAGCTACTTTCGAAACATGGCCAACGATCACCAAGTCCAAGCGTTGGGTGCTGCCTTGTGGATCTCCGCACTTGATCTGGTCAACTAGCTGCCGAGGATCTCATATCCAGCACGTCCCGGATGAGTCAAGAGGATCCACAATGAGCAGAACTGGCTGCTCACAGTGCGTCCACTCCTTGACACCATCATCTCGTCACCGTATGCTCTCCTTTCCCATATCTAGGTCGCCCGTAGCTCGTCACATGGTCCTCTGTGTCAACGTATACCTCAGTAGAAGTAGTTTTTATAATTTTACAAAAACTTATGAGTGATTGGTTCTTTCCTGGAGTTCAGAGATCATCCTCAATGCTGATGCTTCTTGGAAAAATTAAGATATAAATATCTTTGAAATGTCCAAGGCATCTCTTCTTCACTCTTGTTATCCTCACGAAGGACTTTGCAGCGCCTGGCACCAGTCGCACTTTGAAAGAGAAATTTGCTGTAGGAGTTATTGTTTTCTTCAAGCTGGAATGAAACCTAAGTTTGCACGTAGATCTAAATGTTCGTAATAATGTATATATGGTATGTCTTTGGAAGGATCTAATTCAGCGGTGGTCCAAGGTGTTGTTACTTTCTCTCAATGAGAAAGAAGAAATGCGAAGCGGACGAGGTAACTTTCGCAACGCTTTCACCCAGTCCAGCGATCTGGAGCGCGCGCTGAACCACCTCCATCGAATGCCGTTTGGTCGTGATCTAGTGTCCCGGACTTTGCTACTGCAAACGTTTCCCAGGAACGAGGAGGCGATGCCCGGAGCGTCAAGGATGCGTTTTGGAAGACGCCACGACAGTGTCTTGGACTGTGATGCTCGAGGCCTACGCGCAGAACGGTGACGCGAATATGGTCTCCCATCGAATGCCCAGGAGAGACGTCGTGTGGTGGACGAGCTTCTGTGCTCGAGCCGACTTGGCGAGAGTGGTGTTGGAGAGAATGCCCGGCTGTGACGCTCTCTCCTGGGGGGCTCTGGCTTACAGCTTCGCTCAATAGGGACTGGTCCCGGGACGTCTTGCCGGAGCTCGACTTGGAGAGGTGAGATCGAGCAGACCAAGTATATGTTGAACAGCGATGGATTGCCATGGCCGATCGAGCTAGTCGGGTTCTCGCGTGCTAGCAGCACTAGCGCGAACAAGAGGCTCGGCGACTCAGAATCCTCGTAGCGCCTGTGAGAGAGGCACTGCTCGTGGCATTTGCGGAGGACGAGCAGGACAGGAACTGGATCTACTGCGCCGAGGATCTCGACGAGATGAAACAGGTGGCGGCAGAGAGACAACGATTTGCTCTTCGCGGTGGACGAGTACGATGTTTACGACGTGAGGTACGGCGTTGCGAGAGCTCGAGCAGGGATCGACGTGCTTGCGTGCTGGATCGGAGATGCGC